TAAAGTATATTTTGAAAACTATATGCTAAAGGAGGTAAAAGTGCATAGAAAAGTATCTGACACATACAGGTGGGTTGTGCCAAAATCAAACAGGTGGAATATTTGTAAGTTATGCCATGATGATTTGGGTCATTTTGTCGTCGAAAAGACGTTAGCTAAAATACAGGAAAATTATTGGTTTTCTGGCATGAGGAGATTCGTAACGAAATATGTCAAATCTTGCTTAAATTGTTTATATTATAAGTCTCCCTCAGGGAGAAAACCTGGTCAACTTCACCCCATTGATAAAGTAAGTGTACCTTTTCATACTATTCATGTGGATCATTTGGGTCCTTTTATCCGCACACAAAAGAATAATACTCAACTACTTGTCATCGTGGACGGTTTTACGAAATTTTGCGTAATTAAGCCTGTACGAAATACAAGAATAAAGTATGTTATTCGAGTAATTCAGAATATGATAGACATTTTTGGAGTTCCAGTTAGTATTGTTTCGGTTCGTGGCAGCGCCTTTACCTCAAAAGGTTTCAAGTCATTCTGTTCATAGTACGGAATAAAACATGTGCTTAATGCCGTGGCAACATCAAGAGCAAATGGGCAATGTGAACGGTTCAATCGTACGATTCTAAGTTCACTGGCTGCTTTAAATGGTGGAATGGAAGATAATGTATGGGATACTCATGTAAAAACGGTGCAGAAGGATAAACGGTACAGTTCACAGAGTACTGGGAGTAACACCTGCCGAGGCATTGTTTGGGAGCAAACTCAGAACCACATCAGAAGCCTTACTACTAAATGAACTACAGGAAGAATTAGAAAGGACAGATGTGGCAGAACTACGAAAGGAAATTAAGAAACGTGTTGGTGTTGACCAAGAGAAACAGCAACATCGATTCAATTTAAAACGTGCCAAAGTGAAGCCTTATAATATCGGAGAACTTGTTATGGTAGCCAAAACAGATTTTCCAGCAACCGGTCAAAGCAAAAAATTGCTGGCAAAGTTTAAGGGGCCTTATAAAATTACTGCTATTTTACCAAATGACAGATATGTTGTTATAAGCGTTTCTGAATTACACCGCAAATGCCCTACAGTGGTCTGCATCGACAGAATAAAGCCATGGATAACACTGACTGAAAATGTAAGTTTAATATTTTTGTGTGCAAAGCATTCGTAGATATGTTCAACATACAAAATGCTCGAGACACACGGTTGCTTAATATTTTTGTGTGCAAAGCATTCGTAGATATGTTTAACATACAAAATGCTCGAGACACACGGTTGCTTAATATTTTTGTGTGCAAAGCATTCGTAGATATGTTCAACATATAAAATGCTCGAATCACACGGTTGTTTAATATTTTTGCGTGAAAAGCATTCGTAGATATGTTTAACATATAAAATGCTCGAGACACACGGTTGCTTAATAGTTTGTATGTAAAGCATTCGTAGATATGTTTAACATATAAAATGCTCGAGATACACGGTTGTTTAAGATGTTTGTGTGTAAAGCATTCGTAGATATGTTTAACATATAAAATGCTCAAGCCACACGGTTGTTAAGGATGCAACAAATATGTTTTTGTTATAGGATTATGACCGTATTGAGGATAATACGGAAGAGCAGGATGGCCGAATGTAGTCAACTTCTAAAAGTCCCCCCGTATTACACAAGTCATCGTAATATGCTAAATTGCATAGTCAGCAAAGCGACTGGGCAGGGGGATTCGAGAGAAGCGGCGGCAATGAATTAGGCAGATCGGTTGAGCATCTGAAAATAGATAGATATAAAGAGTTAAATGTTAGTATTTTAAGTAATATAAAATTAATTCGTTTTACGTGGATTTTATTGACTTTAACAAAATTATTTCTCTTATCCTAAAACCATTTATTCTCTACAAGATCCCTTTCCTAGAAAAAACAAACACTCTAATAACCATAAAGTTGTTTGTTTTATATGAAACCAAATTCTAATACAAAATAAAAAATGTATAAACACCCATAATCATAAATCAGTTTCAAGCATAAATAAATTTTGCTCATTGACAAATTAATATTGGTTTCAGAACGATTGCGCCGCTGTTAAGAAATAACAAAATGTATCAAATCGTTTATTTACGATGCCCGCGTTACAGCATAGTTTTTATGAATCGTTTATTTACGATAGCCGCAGTTAAAGGGAATCTCAATAACTAAAAACTATACTGACAATTAGTTTAAGAGAATTGTCACTTATTTCAAATTTTAAAAATAATAGCAGTTGTTTAATCAAAATATGAACGGTGATTGGTGGATTTCATTTTTGCAGTGTTCTCACTGCCTAGAATGGATATGAAATATATTCGTTCAGTTGAAGGCAATAGCATACGTTTTCCTTTTGTAATCTGTGCGTAGATAAGTTTATATCCAAGTGGGTGTAGAAAAATAATATTTTTTTTTTATTTATAGTGCAATCATAACTAAATGAGGGCGATTATAGTGGTTTTTGATGTTGAATATAGCTATATTTTTTGTCTATAATAATCGCCCATTTGTTAACCACAACAAAATGAGCAAATCTTAATAATTAAGTAACTACACATTGTTTTATGAATTTATTTAAAAACAATTATTGCCATTGATTTGATCTAAATAAATAGATTTTTTAATTTTTTCAAATTTCAAAAGTGTTTGGTTATGGTGTGGGAAATAAAAAAAAACCTTGTCTCTTATAGAAATTCACCATTCAGATTAGTTTTAAGCATAATCATTATCATAAACATAGATTTGACATAAAATCAATGTGCGTTAATATGTAATGATTTATCTTTTATGTTAACGTTGATGTATAGATATGCTTAAAACTAAATCCAGCTGTATAAACCCACAGTTATTCTGTTGTATTTTCTAAATGGAAACTCCCCTATATAAGTAAACATTAATTGTATTATAGATATATCATTAACAGGGTGTTACTTAAAAAGTAAAATTTTAAAAAGTATTTAAATGTGCTTTGAAATGGTCAATTTAGAACGATTCCCAATTCGCTTCTGTAAAAGCGTCATTGATGATAATTCCTTTCAATTATTAGATGAAGAAAGCATACGGCATCATATTCCAAAAATGGGCCCATGCTTCAATTTTAAGAAAAAATTCGAGGAATTTTGTATGTCAAAATTTGACATTTATATCTCGAATGGTTCTTGGAGCTTTGAATTAAAAATAAACCTTCAACAACCTGTAAATGCTATTTGTTGTATCTTAAAAAAATTATAACATTTTAGCTCTAGAAGAATTTTCCATTTTATATTGAATCACTCCATGTTAAAGGGGTGTAAGTCCAACGCTATTTTTACGAAGAATATGCCCGTTTAGCATAAAACGACAGGAGCGTAAATCAAATGCTATTTTTATGGAAATACACCCGTTTAGAATGGAACGATTCAATTGTATTTTGTATTTATACCTGCTATGCTGGTTTCAAAATAAACAGTTTATCTTTTTTTTTTAATTTTTTCAATCGATTTATTTAGCTAAAATTGGTTTAATTTAGTGTAAATATTTTCTTATAAAGCGAAAGATAAAAAAGTTTATTGTTCGAGTTCATGAGAAAAATATTTACCTCTGTTAAATCTATTTCAGCATTTAATATGAATTATATTTTGGAAAAACATTTTTACAATGATAGTAAGACATTATTACAGTTAACCCGTTTTACTGTAGTAGTTACATATTATTACTGTAACTGTACAGCAATTTTACTATTGTGGCAAACTAATATTACTGTAGCAGTAAAACAGTTTTGTTAAATCGGTAAGATATTATTACTGTAACAGAAATATCGTTTTACTGTAGTAGTAAGATATTATTACTGTTACAGTATAGCAGTTTTACTAGAGTGGTAAGATATTATTACTCTAACAGTAAAACCGTTTTACTAAAGTGGTAAGAAATTATTACTGCAGCATTAGAGCAGATTTACTAAAGCAGTAAGACAGTATTATCCTAGAAATTGGTGGTAGTTATACACTTTTACTGTACCCGTGATGAAAATTTACTACTTCCGTAATAATATTTGACCAGAGCTGTAACATAGTTTTACTGCCGCAGTCGAATAAATTCTTGGCATTCTAAATATTAGTAAATCTTGTATTACTGTCACGGTAAAATCTTCTAGCTGAGGCATATTTAATTAACTTTTTCTTATTGCTACGGTAAGAATTTTTTTTCGGTATATTCATTTGGATTTTAAATGATACCAATAAAATAAATACAATATGGTGAACTTTTAATTTTTCTGGAAAAAACGCGTTTTTATACACATTTCATTTTAAGTACAACAGTAGAATCTTTTTACGTAATCTACCGCTGATCATGACAAATTAAAGCAACAGTTTACTATCAAGATATATATCTTTTATTTGTATCTAATAAATGTGGTTAAATAGAAGAGTTTAAATTTCAAAATAAGTGATATTAGAAGAATTTTCTTTTTGGACACACCTCGTATCGTTTAAGTTGGTTTCTTTTACCTATTTCTTATCAATAACCAAAAATTGGCGGGTCGTATGTTACAACTTTAGCGAAAACCTATTATTCACATCAATTGATTCAGAATCCATTGAACTATGGAAATGTTGATAAATCATTGAGATTAAAGAAACTTCTGAATTTCTTTTTCCGAAACATGTGAACAGAGATTCTTATTTAAGACAAATAAATCTCAAGAAATAGTAATACTTGTATATTTATATAATTATTCTTTTTTGATTTCATCCAAATTTTTTTAAATGAAATAAATTCTCTACATCATACTTCATTTCGATTAAAATTCTTATCTTAATTCAATACTAAGTTGTCATTAATGTATAATTTAAGTTTGAATTTTTACCTTAAAATTTTTTTTAATTTGTATTACAGTCTCGTACTTTAAATTATTATTACTCGTTTAATATAAACTGAAATTTTTAATTGGAAATGTTTTGTTGAAGAAAATACCAGTGTTTAGTATTTGCTGTTTCAGGGAGAGCTACAGCAGCTCCACCTATACATAATCCAACGGAACAACAGGTAGCATCTGCACATGTCGTTCCCGGTGCGGTGACGTTCCAAAACAAAAGCGTCATGACCAAAATGACTTCGGTGAGTCCCGTAGGAACTCTTGCCTACGTCATCGAAGAAGAAGCTCTTCTCGTGAGAGTCAACAACGGCTGGCAGTATGTTGCGGTAAGTTAGAAGATTAGGATATAATTTGATTGGAATATAAAATTGAGTTATTTTTTTACGTATTTGAGCTCTGTGGGTCATGCATTGTTGTTACTCATTTTGCATGAAATGTGTGAAGACTATTTTTACATAAATTATTGATGTTGTTTAATATCCAATATATTAAATTAATCAATACCATCTAACCTCTTCAATAACTCATTTTTTTATATAGATCGGTGAAACGTTTTGGGTAAATGTTACAAGTTTAGATAAAAAATATATTTCAGAAACTACGTAGCTGCTGCATGTAAACTTTTTTGCTGGTATTTATTTTTCTGGAACAGTTAAATACTTTAAATAGTTAAAATATTCAGTTATTGTAATTATCCAGTATATAATTTAGCCAAATTATTTATAAACTTATGACCTCGGTTTTGATGTTAGGACGAAAACCAAAGGGCGTAGATTGGAGTCCTCCTTGGTGCAGAATACTTTCAAGAACAACTTTTTCAATTTTTGCTTATTTTGTTATCTCCCTCGGATTCAGGAATTTATTACTGATTTCTTTCACTTTTCGACAATTAAACCGACAAATTTCTAAAAATAAACTTTTCAGTATCTCTTAATTTTAATTTTTTATGTACTTTAACTTCTTTTATTATAATTTAATTTTTTTCAATGCATTTATTTTTATATTGTCGCGTAAAAGCCGACTCTGTTCTTTATTAACGTACCCGCGACAGGAAGTCCAGCGCTGGCCATATCGAGACCCATCTCGAAACTCTAGAAACCCATTCGAAGGTTTTCTATGGCAGTCTGGCGCGTGTAGGATAATTTCTAGAACTTCCATACTGAGCTTCTAGTCAGAGTTGGTTCTTTCGAGAGCGTTACATTTTTATATAAATAGCCGCGATTTTGTCGTTGGTTAGGTTTTACTTTAAGTGCTATATAGAAAAGATAAATTTTATTAAATAAATTAGAATTGTGAGTTTTAATAGTTGTAATAGTTGTATTATATAAATTAATTAGTACGTTATAAATAAATTATAAAATAGGTGTTTTAAATAATTAAACTATAAAAAAATAAACAAACGCTACATTGGTGTTAGAAGTGGAACTGTAAATAAATAGTGGACAAAAATTGCTAAAAAATTGTGCAATTTAAAAGTTGCTGAATTACGTTAGCAATTAGAATATCGTGATCTGGAGACGACAGGAAAAAAGCAGAGCTGGCAGAAGAAAGTAGTAGAAGTATTAGAAAGTGAAGGTTTGGATCCGGAAACGTATCTGTTTTCTGATGATGCGTCTTCTATAATTTCTTCATTGGAAAGTAAAATGTCCTTTATGAAAACTGAAGTTTCTTCTGATGTTTGCTCTATAAAAAATATTATTTCCTCCTTAAAAACTAAAATTTCTTCAGACACTTCCACCCTAGAAAATAAAGTGTCTTTTGATATTTCTTCATTAGATAATAAAGTTTCTTCCTTGGAAGCTAAAGTCTCTTTAGAAATATCTCCTTTAGATAGTAAAGTATCTTCATTGGAAGAAAAGGTGTCTTCTGAAATTTCTTTTATGGAAAATAAGATATCAAATAAGATATCATCAGTCGAGAATAAAATAATGTCTTTTGTCGAAGAGAAAATAAAAGAGATGGAAAAAAGATAGAAGAACTGGAATATATATAACCGGCCAAGAACGATGAAATAAAGTGCTATGAGGTGGAATCGCAGTTGAAATTAGAAGTACCTGTAAACTCTGATCGTGTTAAAGTCCCAACTTTTGACAAAAAGATGTAATGGACAAACTACCATAAATAGTTCGTAACAGCTGACGGAGCAATCAAATGGTCTGAACGAGAGAAAGCAGTAAATTTGACCATCGCCCTTTAAGGAGATGCTTTAGATATCCTTCACACTATACCTGTGGAAGATACCAATGACTTTAAACAACATAAAAAAAAACTTAACATGCGATATGACCATTTGAAGCATCTATACCAATTACAGTTAAAGAATCGCAAACAGAAACGAGACAAGACCCTTTAAGAATATAAAGTAAATATTGCCAGGTTCGTGCGATTTGCCTACCCGTCAGCTCCCGAAAATGTGATGGAATGTTTGGCAGTCCAAGATGAGACCATCGGGCTTATTCTCTACAATTGCCCGACGATATAAGAGAAGCATCTCTTGACGACGTTGTCAACTACATTAAATCTGTAGGCTGGCTCACAAGCTAGGAAGTTCCTATCTACTTAGGAGAATGCACAATAAGCGTAGTGAGGCCTAAATGCCGTGGGTTAACCCACTCTCTACACGTTAGAGATACAGATACAGAGGGCTTCTAGTAATATTGTTTTTTTTTAGTTCGTGGAGGATTAACCGAACTCTCCTGGTCAGCCAGAAGGAATGCTGTATTAACTTTGTCGTATTTGCACTCTTTTGAAAAGAACTAATAAAGATTATTTGTTTTGTAAAATAAAAATATTATTATTCAAAATGTTGTATTTTTTTAATTATTGTATACATCGTAGGGACATACGAATTAGAAAATGGAATTCTTCAAGGGCCCGTACTAAGCCCTACCTTATTTATAATAGCTATCTTTGATTAACCCAAAATTTAAAATCACCATTAAAAGGACGAATACATGCAGATGACTTAATCATTTCTGGTAAAAGTAAAAACATTGACAACCTATCTATTATGACACATTTTTTGATCAAATTAAATTAAATTAAATCAAATAGTAATCTTAAGAAATTGGTTTTTGATTTTCAACAGTTTAAACTCAGTATATATCATATTTTTAAAAAGAAATAATTTTAATGTTCGATCACCGACAATATATGGAAAACATTTACCTTCAAATGCGATAAGATTTCTAGGCATAACTTTGCTCAAAATTTAAATTGGAAAAAGCACATAACAAACTTGGCAATAGAATGCTATTCCTGACTTAATATTTTGAAAGTACTACCTAAAAAAGATTGGGGATGCTATTTTACATAGATCACTTACATCAAAACTGAATTATGGTGCTGTAGCTTAATTATCAGCTTGTAAATCTATTCTGAATATTTTAGATACAGCAGTTCGCATTGTTACCAGAGCTTAAAAGACATCTGCAATTGAAAGCTTACATAGTAAATCTAGAAACCATCTTTAGGAGACCGAAGAATATACTTAAGGCTAACGTATGCTACAAACAGTAATGCTAACCCAAACAACCTCTCATGCAATCAGGCAATGAATGAGAATATAAGAAGGTATTATAACAACAAACCACGAATAAAACAACCTTTCTACCATATAGTCCAAAGTAATATTCCATCCTTAAAGCTATTCTTACCTAAATGTTTTCCCTTAGTATTTGCCTCCCCTCCACCTTGGACAATGACACCTGAAAAAATTATTACAGAATTGACGGCTTCTCATAAACATACAGTTAACAAAGAGATTATCATTTAGAAGTTCAAGACTATTTTGGATAAATATTAAGACTTGGTCATATACAATTATCCCATTCTTACTTAACCCACAAAACTCAACCACCAGTGTGCGAGATGTGTAACTTACTACAATCAGTAAAACATTTTATGGTTGACTGTCCAAAATTTCAACAAGAAAGAAAAGTCCATAAAAATTTACCTACTCTCGATCAAACACTTGGTTCTAATTGTTGTTTTAAGACATTACCATCTACATAGCAGCAATCAAAATTGTTAACATGTAAATATAATATATTATAGTTACTGAAATATTGTCTCTCGCTAATAATCTTCGAAATTGATGTTTAATTATGGAGGACTTGTGAGAAAATGAATGTGCGTCTGAAAATCAAAATAAAGAAATTTAAATTATATAAAAAAGGTAATCAGAACAAATGGAAAAAAAATATACTTAGGACTGAGTAGGAGTTCATTAAAACTATTCGTATCTTATTGGTATAGTAATATTTGACAAATATACAAAATTGATCCTAAGAAGTTGAAGATTGGTTAGATTATTTAATTAATTCTTAATCTTCTCAATTTACAACTTATTTGCAAATACAAACTTTTATCAAAAACAACAAAATGATGGTTGTAAATATATTGTTTATTATTTAAATTTTAAGGGGTTGTTTAGGTAATCACTTTGTCATTTTAAAATAAAAAGAATATAAATATTTGTGTAAGCAACATAAAACTTTGTAATTTAAACTTACTTGTAACAAACAATAAAAACGTTTCTTATGTAGACATTATTTATTACATCAATCTGTTAATAAACACTAGCTGTGTCTTTAAATAACAAAAAAACTATACAAAATAAAATACCTACATAATACTCTTTTTTTTTATATTTACAATAATAGTGGAATTTATTAGTAGTACAGGATCCGTAAGTAAGGTCGACCTATCTGTTTAATGGATGAAAGTTTTTTTTTATTTAGAGAAATATTTATAAAGCAAGTAAGTATAAGTAAATACGGTCACGGCCATTTTTCACTCTACTTTCTGTATACAGTAAAGGAAAGTACAGGAATCATGATAAAAATTGCTTGTGATATCATTCTTTATAATTTTGTTCCTATACAGATTTCCCTAAAATGGACCTAATTCGAGAAATTTGAGGAAAAGTGCAAATTTCGAATTTTAAGTATAAATCAAAAACGGATGAAGAGAAAGACACCAAATTTTAAACTTAAGCTTTAATCCATCCTGTGGTGAGCTGATTGAAGTCTGAGATAGTCGAAGCAACTGGGGAATACTTTAAAGGATGTCGTTTTTTTTACTTTAAGAAAATAGTCATGGCCGTATTTTCTTAGGCAACCCATTTGCAGTATATTTATAACCATATTTTATTTAATAAAAAGAAACTTGTATCTTAGATCATAGTCACATATCGCGCTACACCATGGGCGTTGTTACACAATTCTATAGGGGGGGGGGGGGGGAAATTTTGAAAAAATTTAGTATGTTTATTTATTGAAAAACAAAGAAAATTAAACATAAAAGAGAATTTTCTTATGATGGA